CTAGTGTAGCTCATTCCTTATTTAATCATTTCAGATCAAGAGGACATCGTTCCCGAGCCGTTTCCGCAGGAGGACGACGAAGGGGACGCCTAAAGACTCCATAGTCACATTCGTAGCTTTTACTTTCAAGTTTCTCCTTTAGGTAGTTTGATCTTTTATATTTTGTGAGCACGTTTTTTGTTTTAGTGTAAGGGATGTTATTCAAATTTTGACTTCGCTTCCGCATTTGATATTTTTAATATACATTTCATTATGAATTTCCGGGGCTGTTACACACTATGCCAGATTTTTTAAATTGGCCGAGTGGGCTCTAGGACTGATTTTTAGTTTATTTAGAACATTTGTAGGTACTATAAGCGCGTTTCAGTTCCTAGAGAAAAATTCAGGAAACTCAGGGACTACTCGTAGGCGCAGTAAAGCGTTTAGCTTTTCGGTGTCAAATCGAGTAAGAACTCCTCACCATATTCCTTATCATAGAATTAAAGTTTAAATAAATAATAATACGGTATTTTGTACAAATTAAATAGATGTGCATAACTAATTACGGATTGCTCATGGAGCCCGAAACAGAAATTGTTCTCTGTTGATTTATTTTACAATCTAAAAGTATGATAGTATCTAATTTATTTATTTTATGGTTTAAATGCATGTATTACTACCTTACCTGACTACTGTTTAATTTGATATTTGAGACATGATTGCATTACCGGATGCATGTTTATTTATTTGTGTGATTATGTTTGATTTGGTAATTGTGACTAAAGGAAAATAGAAGATGGGTGTGATCAAACAAACAGATAGAATAACAGCCTTACTAGATATTTTGGGAGATGGTGGTGAAATGATAAACAGTTATGATTTAGTTTATTGTTAATAGATATGAATTTATGATATGTTCTATGTTGCTGGGTATTCATGAAGTTGTTATCTGTATGGTATTATTGTCTCTATGGGTTATTTTCATAAATTCCACTACGGTAAGTAAACGGTAAATGATTTTGTGATTAATAAACGAATTTATTAAATTTAGTGCTCCATTAGTTATTTTAATTTTATACCAACCTTTACTTATGTGTCGGTGATATAGTGTGATATCCTTATTGGGTTAGTGTAGTTCATCCTTTATTTAACCATCGTGTTCACTGTTCTTTTCTGGTGCAAGTTAACCGAAAGAGAATTTCAGCTGTGAAAGAGGACGGGCAGAGCCACCGTACTTGGAGACCTTCTGCCGGTAAGGTTTCAGTTTTTTGCCTTTTCCGGCAACCGATGCCTCATAACTCATTTTTTTTGCAATTTGTGTGTAAAATTAGCCAAAATAAACCAGGCTGAGGCAAACTATCAATGTGGGGGACGAAGTCGACACCGAAGCACGGCGGTGGCGCCGTGCTAGGACCCTAAAATTGGCTGAAAAAGTTTCAATGCCTATTTTGGCATTTTGGAGTATTTTTAAGATATGTGACGGGTGTTTTAATTTCTACAGGAAAATTCAGGAAACTCGGTACCTAGCGACGCGGTAGAAATTACGGTATTTCGGATACCGATCTAGGGTAAGAATTCATCACCATTTTTTCTATTACGATAAATTTAAGCCTAATAATCAATAATACTGTGTTTTGTGAAAATTAAAAAACCTTAAAAATAATTATAAGTCATTAATAGAGCCAAAATCGGTTAATGCATATTTTACCTGGTTTATTGTTTACTTCCTGTACTGTTTAAAATGCTTACTATTATATTGTGTGCATTACATTACTAGTTTAAATTATTTTCTCAGTTAATTTACCTAACTGCATAGCCCTAATTTATTAATGTGTTTTGC